GTTCTAGCCAGTCAGTCAGTCAGCTAGCCAGTCAGTCAGTCAACTAGCCAGTCAGTCAGTCAGCTAGCCAGTCAGTCAGTCAGCTAGCCAGTCAGTCAGTCATTCACTCACTCCCTCACTCACCAAGGTGGTCAGTCAGTCAGTCAGTCAGCTAGCCAGTCAGTCAGTCACCCAGTTGCTCAGTCAGTCAGTCAGTCCATCATCAGTTAGTCAATCAGCAAGTCAACAAATTGGCCAGTTAGACCATGGTCAGTCTATCAGCTAGTCATTTCAGTAATCAACCAAATAGTTAGTAGAGCAGCCATCCATTTGTGCACAAATTTTATCCATACATGTCTTTGCTTAACCAGAGAGATGAAAATCCCCTTGCAAATTCACTGCATTTTGCATTCAATAGGTTGGTCCATTTCAAGATGCAGCATTTGCTCTCTCACCAAGCACAGTTGATAAACCAGCATATACAGACCCCCCAGTCAAGACAAAATTTGGTTATCATATTATAATGATCGAAGGAAAGAAATAACGCCTGAACTGAACTTATGGTACGGATCTAGGACAACTCTGATATCTTATTGACATGATGGGGATGTTGAGTAAGATTCACAGAGCAATTTTGACTGTAGAAAGTGGAACTGTCATCTAGTTTTTTGGAAATTCGTATTTTAACATCCTTGATCATTTTTTTCTTATCCTTCTTAGAGAATTCTTAGAGTGGAATGTTTGGGCTAAACAATGTAAGGCGACGGCTTGAAAACGTGAGGAATTCGTCCACATCAAAAGTACAATACTTCCTATTCTAAACAGATTAAAAACTTGATGAAAATGCATAGATTTGGTTTTAATGTAGCTATGGTGTTGCACTGCAGCCAATGTACATGTAATATCCTGTAGTAGAGACCTGCATGTTTGTGGTTTCTTAAATCTGATACCCTCTCGGTTCACCCGTTGTCTCCCCCTTCGCAATGGTCTGGTAGCTTTTGGTAGGTATTCAAGTTTAACCAGTTTGTACCGTTGTACTTCTCTTTTCCCTCTGGGGGAAGAGTTAAATTATATTTTACTCTCATTTGGAAAAAAAAAAAAAAAGGAAAAGAAAATATATGAGCCCGTGTTCGGACCGTGGAACGAGAGGTTTCCAGTTCGGTTCTATCCGGAAATTAGTTTTGTTTTTCGTGAGTAAATCCTTATAAATCTGTCATTAGTTTGATTTTTTAGTTTAGCTGTAAGTGCCATCTGAAGGTTATTATGTTTTAATAGACTTAATATACTTCTTCGGAAGCGGGAAAATATTGCATCACGCCTGAAAAAGTAATTACTATTTTTTCTTTCGACTCCTACCTTAAACGGCACGTGCCGGATAAAACATGATTAAACTGAAACATACGTCAGTTCTTTGTTAGCAGAGGTCGTTTTCTGCATGTGGCAGTCAGATTTTCCCAATTTGACGTGACATGATGTGTTCAGTTTCCTCGATTAAACAGGAGAAAAGTCACGTCCCTATTCTTGCATCATTACAATTTGTTTTTTTTTTTAAACTAAAACAAATTGGACTTGTAATTATAATTATATGTGATTAAATCTGGGCACGAATGCAGTTTGTGTGTTCACCCAATGATTACTGACTTATGATAGAATCCTGTGGTGATCAATGTGTAAAACCTTTTTCGGAATCGAGATCCGTGTGTGTGTGTGTGTGTGTGTGTGTGTGTGTTTAACTTTTCTCTCCTTCACTTTTTATCTGATAGTTACGTGACAGGGTGGTAGGTTTTGCGTGCTTTAAAATTCGAGGCGTAGGAGAAGTGAAGGACGAGGAAGTGATTTTAAAGATAAATCTGGAACTAGAAAAGCTCTTAAAAACGTAGAAATGTGTCTTTGACGGAAATTACAAGCGTCAATCGACGTAGTGAACTTTTATCTTCCCCGGCATTAAGGTTCGCGCCGCGGGCGGTTTAATTTTAAATGGCTACTGTCATTGTTTTCTCAACTGTCAGTCTAATATATTTAATGTAACCTTGAGAGTGTCCAATAATTAAATTCAGGTTGTCGCCTTTAATCATACCTGTTTAGGCTTATCACTTTTATACCCGGTTTAACTGACATTCATTATTAAAAAAAAAAAAAACTCATTGTTCTGTTTTCTATGCTCGTGAAGAAAATTTCATCGGCCGACTACACTCAGACTTGTAATTTTTAATTTTTTAAATGTGTATTAGAAGACTTTTAAATATACATTCTAAATCCCGTGCCTGAAATATTCCCGTATTTCTTCCAACATAAGGTCGATTGAAGGATATATATATATATATATATTTTTTTTTTTTAATTCTAAGATTCTACAGTTTTCAGAAACCGAATCGCGGATGTAGATATGAGGATATAACAGCTGGTTGATATCGTTTTTTGCGTTTTTTTTTTTTTGGTTTTTTGGTTTTTTGTTTTGTTTTGCTTTTGGATGAAACAAAAAATTTACCAAATTTTTCCATAGTGAAATGTAGTTCATTTTGAAGCATTATATTATGCGACTTAATTGTATATTATTTTCCATCAAAACGCACGGGTTATTATCCTATTCTCATAGGAAAGATATCTTTCACTTTGGGACTAGCGTGGGGAAAAAGCTGAGTTTTCCACAAGGAATCATAGCGGCCATACCTTTAGTGAGCTTGGCTATTAGTAATGTGGATTGCTTCGTGCGAATACCACTAACAATCACAATTTTTTTCTTTGGGCGATAATGAAAGAACCAAAAAGAAGAAAACAACAAAACAAAACAGCGACACCTGCAGTCAACTGATAAATGAAATATATGATGCTTCCAATCTAGGTTTTCTGTATTTTGTTCTAGCTGTTATCAATGGTGATTCCTTGATGCAATGCAATGAATTGTACTAGACAGCTCAAATGATCCTCTTCAAGAGAGAATCAAGGAATACTGTCCTTCATCTCAACAGTAAAGCTTCAAAAGCAAATAGAGAGACAAACAACATCTATTCCCAGATTGGTCTCATGCAAAGGTTTCTTGGCGTCGCTTTCAATCATGACTGAAAATTTCATCTAAGAAGGTTAAAATATAAGTCAGGTGTGGCTTTCTTCACAACCACAAGAAATCATTTTTCATGGCGTGACGCCTTTAGATCTTCCATGATGTAGTCATCAGAATTCACTGATTATTTGTTTCTTGAACTAACGTAGCTGGTTCTAGTTTTGTGAGAAACGAAAGCACAGTCAAGGGACGGCTGTCTTTGAAGTGAGCTTATTTAGATTTTTCACGAGAAATAATCACAGTCGAATTTGATATTATATTCAGCCCGTAAATCCCCAATTCAAGCCCTTTACTGATTTTTCCGCTAACAAAATCAATCTTGTCAAAGATCACAAATGAGAGTTCTCATTTACAGCATACATCACTGTTTTTATTGTGTTTTGCCATATATAAAATTTGTTGTTTTTATGTCGGGGGCTCACTTACTTTAGTCCATCTTCAGATCAGGAATAATACATTTAGGACTATTAAATAGTATTTGCACATGAACTAAACCTACAATTCACTTTTCATTTCTTTCTCTCAGAGCAGCCAGATTTCAGTGTAACTCGCTCAAATAAAGTTAATATTATTTCAACCTACGTTTTCTCTGTAAGATAGTTACACAAGCTCGTGTGTCTTGTCGCGGAAAAATGTCCAGTTTAGTTTCATCCGGTGAATTGTTTCATTTTATCTGAAACAGCATAATTGTCACTAATTTGACGTTGCAATAGTTGCTTGTTAGAGGAAGGAAATTAGTTGCTCCTTCAGTTTTAGACTGCTACATATTAACCCCCAAATATACGCCTCCATGCCATGACAGTAATAAAAAATTACATTTCGCCGAAACATTGTAATATTTTCCTCTTAGCCCCCTTAAAAGTGATTGTACCGGAGACAACATGACTCAGTATCTTTTAAAATATTTTAGATGCACTAAAGGCCTCAATAGGTAGAATCAATAAATACGGTAGCGAAGAGGTTGCCTGCTTTGTCGGGTATAGCTTGGGACATGTTTTAGCGTTCATTTTAAAGCTCGGTGAGAAATTATTTTTTCACGGAGAGAAAACCTCTTTTGTGCCACTTTTGAATAAACAAATAGTGATCAAAGACTAAATTTCAACTTCCTTCCTTATTCGCAAGTCCATTCATTGATTTCACAATGTTCAATTTATCGTACACCAAAAAATAATTTCTTGCCTTTTAGACGTGTTACACATTTCTATGGATTTTGTGTTTTCTTTTTGGATGGCTGGTCACAGAGGCAAGAAAACGACTTGGGTACTTGAGAGCTGTCGTGCACAATGAAAAATCACAAAGATGTAAATGGCCTGAAATGTTTCAATGTATCGAACATTAACTTGTTATCAACATTTACCGCACGGGAAGTTTTGAGGGCATCCAAAATAACTATTCATAAAAGTTCATCGACCGGCGGTCATTACTCTTCGAAGATAACTGATTAAGAATTTATTCGGCTAACCACGAAAAAAAAACTTTTCGTACAAAACATTAGGATACAAATAGTCTCTGTGCACCTGACCCAAAAAATTAAATATGCAATAAGTTGAATTTTCGGAAATTTCACGCCATATGTCAATTTTGAGCGGAGTAAAATTACATTACATGATTGAATCGCCTCTAGCAAAGAGATCAGTTTTGAAGAACACGAAATGGATTCTTCGGTTGACAGTTTAGAGAGGCTCTGTAAATTTTAATAAAGAGGAATGACACTTTTCAGAAGTGACTACTGAAATGTTATTTTTCAGGAATTATATTTCTCGGTAGTATGTTTCATTAACGATATAACTTAACAGGAAAATACTAAAGCTTTCCTATCCTACACTCGTTGGATCGACGGTTTTAATTATTTTATTTACGCACACAAAAAAAAGGAGCAAAAAAATATAAAAACTGTATCATTTTGAACATTCGCTTTCAGTTAAACTAAAAAAAAAAAAAAAGGCAAAAGAATAACCACAGAGCGTGTTTCCGAGGGCGTGGGTTTTGCGGGGTCGTGGATTTACGGGGATTTTATTCAATCACTTTCTAAAATTCATAACCTAACAATGTTAATGTTTGTTTAGTGTGAATGAAAAGCACACAGATTGAAAGCTATTCTCGGCCTCAGAAAGACATGAGGATTTCGTAGTATTTTGAACTCGAATTCTGTTTTTACGTCTGTGTATCACAAAACTTAGATTTATAGTCCTTTTTTTTTCTTTTTTTTGTGGAGGCGAAAAATTTAAACGCGGTAGAATGCAAATTTTCGTCGCCTAAAGCGTACATTCTGGGGTTCTTTTATTTTCTTTTCACTGAAAAATACGCTAATTAAGAATGACCGTAAATAAACAAAATCATGAAAAGGCGAAAAATGTAGCCTGCGCTCTAAAGGAAAAGTAAGAAAACCAGAAGACAAAAAAGAGCGACGTAATTCGGATTTTTGATGATAACAGTGTTCTTCCGCAACATAGTGGGTATCTTTGTCACCGTTGCTATGGTTTCCACGCAAAGCTGATACATTAGGAGGGTTTCCCAGTAGACATCCTCGTTCAATAAATTATACAGTTATCAAAAAATACGTCATGATATCTCGAAGCTAACCAAACAGCTTTTTGCTCCTTGTTTACCGTGGAACTTCATCTCTCTGAAGTGCCAATCCCCTTTTCGCACTTTTATCGCCGAAATAATGCAAGTCCCAACATCGATAATAACAAAGTCTAATTTTTTTTATTTTCTTGAACCAAGTTCAAACCCTGGCGCGCCAAACGGGAAATGAACGCGCTCTGAAATTGCTTATCTGTTGAAATCATTATAAACTCGTTGTCAAACAGCTGTACTTCAAACATTCTGCCGACGCCACACAATAGGGCCTCAGTAATTCACACAAATGGTACAAAAAGACGGTTTCTTTGTTTGATCAGCAAGAAAAACAGTGAGTGTTTCAAGGAGATTTTATTAACACATTCTGTTAGCGAAGAAGCAATTTTCATTCATATTTTATTAACTTGGTAATGTGAAATCGGGTTTTTATTTAGACTTGACAAGTCCGTTTTGGAAATTCAACTCGTGAAGTTACGTTGCTGTTGTCCAAATTTCAATACCAATTTGATGGTTTTTTTCCACCAAGGCGCTTGGTAAAACTCCTTTTGTACGAGGTACCTCGCTAATGGGGCCTTAAAACCACAAACCACCAATCACTTTGGAACAAAAACGCCAAAAGTTTACTACAAAGTAACCGCTAGTTTCTACCCTCGTCGAGACAGCAGATGCAAACGGAACAATACGCGACGCCTGTGATTATTTTGAAGGAGAGAAAGAGAATGTTTATTCTTCTAAACGGCTTCTAGTGTAGGCGTTTTACGCACAACACACTGGGAGGCGAGTAGAAATAACCGTGTCTAGCTTCACATTAATCAAGGACTTGATTTTAATTCACTTAATTGAGACATAAACCAGAGAAGGAACCGCTCTCTAGCCGAAAGGCTAATAGATTGCACGAAACCTACAAATACGGTTGAAAGAAATTGATCCCCTGAGTGGGAGAACTTCACGTCAGCAGATGCCACTTCGTGAAAAAATTTCAAAACCTGCTATTTGCCAGATCGAATTCCTCGTTTCATCAGCTTCGCAGTACTGTAAACCATCTTGAGGTCGAGGACAAGAGTCACAGACTATTGTTCCTGTTGATGTTTATGTCATTTTTACTTCTCTTGGACACGTTTTGGCTGAAAAAGGCACATTTGTCAATTAGATCCGAGAAATAATTAAAACACGAGAATCTTTAGTGTTTTGGGACTGCCATAGAGTAGAGCAGGCTAAAAACTGAAAAAATTGCTGTGCTTCTTTATAAACAAAGCCATAACAGTGAAAACCTACGGATTAACAGCAACGGGAAAGAACTGGGACGAAGGACATTGCGTGATTGAAGCAAAATACCCGTTTCATCAACTGCAAAGCCGCAACTGCATCGAGTAAATCGACACCTTGGTTGAATTTATATACTTTATTCAGTTCAGCTTGCATTGGATCCCGAAACAAGGATGATGGAATTGGAAAAAAACAACTCAAACCTCCCTTCCAGTACAGTGCAATCTGCGGCCGCCCAAGATACCGAACTGGAAACATATTTTGACCCAACATATGATGGTGCACTGATAATTCTGAGCGTGATGATAATTGCCATAAATTTGCTGGTGATTTCGCTGTTCTTTTACAGGGAATATCTACAAACAAAAACGAACAGCTTGCTCATCAGTCTCGCCGTGTCCGATCTGTTGGTTGGCTTGCTAGGAATTCCTCTCTTTATCGCCTGTAATGCGGTTTTAAAAGCTGGAGTTTGTACAGCAGGTGTGCTGATCTACCGCTTTATAGCAGTCTCCACCATGTACCACATCCTTGTGGTGACTTTAGAAAGGTACATCTATGTAATGTATCCAATGAAGTACATTAATATCGTGACGGCACCGCGGCTTCTCAAAGCTATAGCTGGCGTTTGGTTGTTCTCAATGTTCGTCTCGCTTATCCAGTTGACCTGGGAAGATCCAACACGATTCTTCAAACCTCGCGATTCGACCTCTCAACAGTACGCACTGGCATACAACATCGTTGGAATTGTGTTCTGTTTTTTTCTGCCAGCTCTGTTCATGGCCATCAGCTACGTGAGCATGTTCATGGTGATCCACCGCCAGATAAAGGAGATCCGTGGCCTGTACAACACGCGTGCTACGAGCGCGAACAGCCAACGTGCCCCAATTGCTACAGAAGCGCGAGCCCTGATCATCTTTGTGGCGATGCTCTCTATTTTCATAATTTGCTGGCTGTCGTTTTATGTCACGGGCTTTTTCATTCTTCTCCCAGGGCTGAACATGGAGGCAATGCCTCAGGAGCCATTTATGGCCGTTGACTTTATTCGTTTTTCTGTGTCGCTCGTAAATCCCATTTTATACGCGTTTCTCAAGCGAGATTTTTCCAGAGCACTAAGATCCCTATGCAAGAGGGATGGCGTACAACCAGGGGAGCTTGCCTCGTCCTCGTCTACATCGCGTTTTCGCACACTCACCATCAATTTCTCTCTTTCAAGGTCCTCCGAGATGTATAGAGACTAAAATATCGCCTGTTCGTCTCCATGGGAAATTTCAAACTCAACTAAACGATTTAAAAGGAGACATCGGAAATTCAGAAAATGCTATACTCAGTATGGAAGCGGAAAAAACCGAAAGCTAAGAAAGGAAAATTGGAGAAAAAAGTTTCATTCTAAAGGGGAACACATCGAATTTAAACAAAGCAAACTGAAGAAGATTTCAAGGCTTGAAATGATAGTGATATGGACGTCAGGTTTCTTGGTTGGTTACGAACTAAGCGTAACAAATAAGTTAATGTGTGTTGCACATTTTATTTTGTTTCATTTTCCTTTCTTAGTGGGGTGAGGAGGAAATTTTAACCTTCAGGTTGCGTCTGCTAAGGCCCTAGGGTTATTGGGTAGCAAACTTAAACCGCCAAAAGACAATTCTTGCAGATTATTAACGGTCATAAAAAATTGATTTATGCTTCTTCATCTAGATATAAATCATGCAATTTAAAGGCCTGATGGAAAGCTATTTCATCCGCTCGCCAGGTTCAAAGAGGTCAAAACTGCAACTAACGTTATTATTAATTGATGGAGTTTATATCTTACTGTTAAAAAGCACATTGGGGCAGGAATGTTATGGCGCCCCGATATTTTCCGCTTTGTGAAATGTTCCATCCATAACTTGGTCTATCAGAAAACAAATTAAAAAACAGATGCGAATTTAAGTTTTTTATTTCTGCGTTGAAAGTATATGTAAAATCCACAACAAAAACCACAATTTGTTTCCTTCCGCACTAGGTAGGTTATTGATTGCTACGGCAATTTTTCGGTAAAAGTTTAGAACCAATGCAGATAGATTCGTGTTGAAAACTGATTCTTTGCAAACGTGTCAGTTAATTCCGGTTTCATTGTGCAAGGATAAACTTTGTTTTCCTTCGGGGATAAAAGTGACTTGTTTGCGCTGTAAAGACGAGATTATCTTTCGGATATGAAGTTAATTTTCTATGTTTTCCGGGAGATTACCGAAATCAATCCGACTGAAATACACGAGACACGACTATGCTTGCCTACTTCTATAGACTTTCAAAAGTGGATAATCTTGAAGCATATTCCAGTTCGGTATTTAACTTGTTTCTCACCCGAATCACTTCTAAGGGATTAACAAAACTTATTTATTGAAAAGTCTTGCAGCTGTTTCAATAGTCTTTGATGATATTTTAATTACAAGGCGTAGCGTAAAGGAAAAACAAAACAATGTTAAACTCCTTTTAATGCTTGTTCGGCGATGGCAGCTGTTTATGTACTTTACTGGTTTTTAGATTTGAACTGTTTGCCGCGAGTTTAGGGTAAATACCGGATTTTCACCGACAAGAATATGATTAAAAACCACTCGTAATGCCTTGCTTTAAATAAGAATGAAAACCCAATATCTTTTCATTAAACTTTTCTAGTGGATTCTTAAGAAAGGATGCGTACATCCTTTAGGAAGATTTCTCTTGATAAATATTCCTTTCTGTTTTTTTATCTTTCTATTGAACGAAGGGAAATTTAACAACACTTCCGCAGTGACAATTTGCATAATATTTAGAGAGAAACAATACGCACTGATTAAAATTAAGTTGCACAATCTTCAAGGACTTCTATTCCTAACAAAGGTTCCTCTTTGTGATCTAGCACGTTCAAGTGTAAATCAGATTATTTTAAAATCTGGGGTTGGATGAAAAATTGGTAAACGCCCAATAACACTTCAGTTGAAATTGCTTCAGCTAGTATATATTTATCCCACCGATGCAACTTTTTCTTCAGTGATGACAATCATAGTAGGTAATATTTCTTGAAGACTAAGGTTGTTGTTTTAAATACATAATTTAAATTGTAAAAGTACAATGGCTTAGATGTAAGGCTAGCTGTCCAGCATTTCAATAGCTCGTTGAAAATTTCTTGTCGTCTTAATTGTTAATTTCGCACACGTCAGTATTAAATTTTCGTCTTCTGTACAAAAAAGCAATACCACAGTTAAAGCGGGTTTTGAAACTCAGTTTTAATGGCTTGCATTGACGAGAATTCATGTAAAATAAAATATTTCTGTCAATCTAAATATAACCACGTACGGCAGTAGCGAAATTTGCAAGTTTGCAAAGTCTATTTTAAGCAGGATAATGTAGATGTAATTTCCCTTTGATGCATTGTACATTAAATAAATTCATGTCATCACTGCTGAGTGAAGTGTGTACTTAATTACTGGTGGAATCACCGCACAACTTCTCTGACCAACACAAAAGGGCTTTTAATTAATACCTGAAATCCTTAATGAAAAACGAAATTGCTGAAATGAAGGAAAACAATGGTCGCTCAATATTTACTAACATTCAAAGGAAAACATCAAAAGAAAAATGAATGATAATGATTAAGGTTTCCTTGAGAACTATTGCAAGTCTCAACCTGATTCTGATTCGAAAACGAAGTCAAAGATGCGAGACAGGAAATGACGTGTGTGCAGGGTAAAACACTTCCGCAAAGCAACTGTCAACAGCCATTCGTGTCTAATACCACGGATGGTTTCCGAGTCGTCTAATGTACTCACGAGCCGTACGATCTGTTCGAATCTCCTAACCGTGAAAAAAGGATGAGTTAACGCTCAATTTCCGAAAAAATCCTAATTCAATTAAAAAAAAAAAACTAAGCTCTCATTCACAGTAAAAGCAAATATTAGTTCCCTTGGGTATTCAAACGATTGAAAGCTTTTTTTCGGTTCTTCAGTTTGGTTTAGAACGATAGATATCAGTAAAAAAAAAAAAGAAAAAAAAAGAAAAAAAAAGAAAAAAAAAGAAAAGGTCCTCATTACCACAATCCAAAACAAGTCTGGTGACGAGAAAATTTCACAAGGGCATTTCAACAACATTGGAAAATTTGAGAGTTAATTTAAGAAAAATACACTTAGTTTTGACGCAGGCATAGAAAACCTAGCCGTGGTAATATTCATTTTACTGTAACGATCAAACGAAGTTCTCATGCTTAAGTGGTTATTCTCAGATTGGACACCACCGAACTTAATTAGCTTTACCATCCGGGGAAGGGAGCGAACTTTCCCAAGCCAACGATTAACTAAATATATTTATTACCACTTAACTTAAAACTGGGGCGGGAACAACTTGTACAAGGACTGTGATTCATCACCCAACCGCAAAACTAAAACCAAACGGGACTTTTTCCACTGTGTTTTCTACCAAATTATGATTAGCTGCCGTTTTACCACATATTGAATGGGTGTCATGAAACTAAATCGGAGTAAACACTACAGCCAATTAGAACAAAGAAACATATTTCGGAGAACCAATCTGAACTCAAGGTGAAAACTGAAGGGCGGGATCTCGTGAGTAACCAAGTCACGATTGGTTTTAGTCTTGCATATGATTGGATGAGAGGATGACGCGATGTTTCCAGACTAATCACAGAGCGTAGTGCTACATTCGTCATTCCCTTCAACATTGTTCTCCTCCCTGATTTCTTTCAACTCCACTTTTTGATCGGACTCAACTCTACCTAAACCGATCACGAAAGACACAGCCTATAATTATTAACTATGATTAAGCAATTTTCGTTTCGCGTCAAGTCAAAAGGACATTAAAATCAGACCTTCCTAATTTTATACGCACGCGAAATAATTGTTTAAGAAGATACTTGCAAATTAGACCTTGGTGGATCTTACCGGAGAAAAAAAAGGTATAATTTTCACTTATGTAATTTGTAGTTCGCATACTGTCAGATAAGTTCGTTTTCATATTTACTTCTCTTGCTTAGGATGGTATTTTTTGAGTAAGCTTTACGTACACGAGTGATTGCAGAATGGCTCATGTTACATATAGTTTTTCAAATCATTCGTAATAGTTCTTTATGTCGCATGTTACCTTCGGCTAAGATTACTTACACAAGATATTGAAAGCCGCTACACAGCCTCCTCGATATGTATAGCCCATGCGCACATTTTTTTTTATCCGAATTAGTGAGAATCTGTGTACGTACGAAAAGGTTCATTTACAACAAATACCATATAACATCATTTTATCGCTTTTTTTAAACAGGAAAAAAGTGTAAATAAATATGAAAATTCAAAATCAATTATTCCATTTTTCTTTAAACCAAACCAAAAAGAAATGACCGCAAAGACCCTTCCACAGCTTCATCACCAGATGCGTCACGAAATGACTTTCTCTATCCATAAGTCACGCAACTCATGCCTATCAGAACCGTGACGAACATTACTCAGTCTGCCACCACCCTCAACTCTTCCAACTCTTCAGTCAAACTCGGATGGTAGGATGATTACGTCACATCCTTGTGGTCATAAGTAATGCACCCTCTGTGTCCTCTTCAACGTGTTCCATGTCCCCCCCGAATTTTGAAGTCGTTCCATTCTCCTTTGCTGTTTTTCTATCAACCTGAAACGAAAAGGAAGAGTTTAACTACCTTATCTATCTCCTCATTATCTCCACGTCAGTTCTGTGGGACAAATGTTTTTTGCAACAACACTTGCCACGAGCAAGAAATAAAGAAAAACTCACGTGGCGTTTTTAAAATTGATTAAGATGATAAGTTTTGAGCTTAGTCGTCCAATTAGGCAGTGATTAGCTTAGTGATCAACATCTACTTTCTCACGTTGAAATCACTTGGTTTTAAAGGTGATGGGAGGTGAGAGATGAGAGATGAGAATATTATCATCTAAAAGGCATGCTCGATGTAACACCAAATTCTCAGACCAATCATTTGAGAGAAATAATTGGAAATTTAAGGAGAATTTTGGTGTAGGATCTGTGTCTAAACTCACCTGGTTTAACTGTTGATGTTCATCCTGTGGTTCTTGAGAGTTTTTCAATGCGCAATCAGGTAAGCAGTAACCAATTTTGAACAGCAGCCGAGAGTCCACATCACCAATTCTATGATCACCTGGAAAGAAAGAAAGTTCCAAATCTTTAGTTTGAGAAAAGGAACACGCGAGGAAAGAGCGAACGATTCCTGGTCCAGACCTTAGATATGTCAATTCCACCTACGTCAATTATAAATACTCTCTTGAATGGAGGTCTGTCTTCCGAAACGACCATTAGAAGGCTAACCTCGATGTGCGATTTATGAAGATGAAAACAGCATAATAGTAAACAGAGCAGAGATACGTTTTGTCAATGAAAACGGAAACGAAACTGCGATAACATTCAAAGTACGGATGTCTGGGGGAAAAAAGAACCATTTTTGTCGACACCAAAAAGTCGCAAAATGTGAAATTCACGATGAGAACGCCAAAGACTTTGTTGTCTCTCTCCGTGTTTGTTCTTGGATAGGCAATAGCTAACTCTGAAAAAACAAATGACTTACCAGGCCACAAGACACTGACAATCAGTCCAGTTAGATAAGTCACTGCAAAGCACACAGCGCTGTACCACAAAAAAGACAGTCTGTACAATGCCAGGCCTTCGTATTCCTTTGGTGGGAGCGGTGAACTTGTGAGGAAAGAACGTATACGTTTATCACCTTTTTCCATCCCTGCTTTCAAAGGGCCACTTCGACATTTCTTATTGAAATTAACTGGAAACGCCTAACCGTAGATGGGTCTTTCGTCAATACATAGAAATTAAAGCGCTTTTCGATAGGATGCCAAATCAATTCGAGTATCGTAAAACAAACGCGACAATGTTTAATTAGACTAAAGTTAACGAGCACAAAAGGTCCATGAGAAATCCATGACATGACGGGGACGGTCTAGAGCGCGGAAAAACGGAAGAGACTAGGTCGAGATTTGTTATAGTTTAACAATTGATTAGCCGAGAATTTCGCGTGTTTTCTTAATCAATCACAGAGTACAGTAAAGTAAAGCACATCGCTTCATAAGGATTGCGCTTGGCAAAATAAACTCATGGTGCAGAGCTTCAAGTACAAAAGTACCAACTTTCGCATTGACAATCAATCAATTTCGGAGACAATGGTAACTGTTGAGATTGAAAACAGGATTGGTTGTGCCAATGAACTATACAAAGAACCTTTTGAGAAATTTTAGCTGAGGCATGCACTTAAGCCCCCAACCCCACCCCGCACGTTTGTACATGCCCCGTCCACTCTGTATGACCTACTCATGTCTGGCTCACCTGGTTAAACTACACAAAGGGCCTTTTGGGAATTTTGAGCTCAAGGGTGCGCTTAAACCCCCAACCTCACACTGCACGTTTCTAAATGCTCCGTCTACTCTGCATAACCCGCACGTGTCTGGCTCACCTGGTTTAACTACACAAAGGGCCTTTTGGGAATTTTGAGCTCAAGGGTGCACTTGAGCCCCAACCCCACCCCGCACGTTTCTAAATGTTCTGTCCAATCTGTATGACCTGCACATGTCTGCCTCACCTGGTTAAAGTGCACGAAGGGCTTTTGGGGAATTTTGAGCTCAAGGGTGCGCTTGAACCCCCAACCCCACCCCGCAAGTTTCTAAACGTTCCACCCCCGGTCCCCTCGGAACGACCTGCGCTTGTACTCACCTGGTTGAGTTCACCATGACTGTACTGTTCGTTGGCATAATTTGACACTTTTCAGTCGAGAGGGGAGCTTTAGTGGCGGGTGGAGGGTAAACTTTAGCTCCGATACCGATCCACAAACCAATGATAAATCCAAGTAACAATCCAACGTACACACCCTGACAAAATAACAGAACATTAAAATCTACTCTCCGCTTCCAAAGTTCGTGTGAAACCGCGTAAATGTGTTGTTCTAAGGCAAGACATTTTATTCTCCCCAGGCCTCTCTCCACCCAAGTGCATAAATGCGTACTGTCTAACCATCAGACAAAATGCTCCCGGTTTTCTCTCGTGGAAAGGTGTATAATCCAACAGCTGCAGCAGGTTGGAGTCACTGGGCACGTAACACTTCACCTATGCTAATAAGCATACCTAACAAGATAGATAAAGCACAACAAAAGATTTTTAAAACGGCACGCTGCTTACCCTGGAGTGAGCTCGACGAGTGAACATTCCAAGACAAAATGCTCCTACAACAGGACCACCAACTACTCCAAACACGCTGTAAAATGTCTGAATAACAAAACAAAGAAGTGTAAGGTATTGGAAATTAAACACGAAGGCGCGCTATAAAAGGAGCCTTAGCTCCCACTGGACCATTTGTCAATCAAACGTCGTGTGATGTAGAACTCTTAGAGTCAACTCAGCTTGAGCTACAGCTACTCCAAAGCAGTGAACAGCGGGCGCATTCGTCAAAATTGTTTCATGTCTTCATCACAATACAAGAATTTTTGAGATTTGTATTTCCTTTCTCCAATATAAACTGTCTTTATTTGTGGCGGTAAATTTGAGATCGAAGTTGGTGGTTCGCACGTTACCTCATGCCACCATGCTGGTGGAAGTAAACAATAGATATCTCATTAGCTCCTTTTGTTCGTCTACCAGCATTTAAATTTGACCCGCACACGTCAACGGTGAGTGACAAATGAGCCTAGGTCTTCCCAGGGAAGACTNGGGGGGCATCACCATGGGTCACTGTGGACTAACAATGAGATTACAAGGGAGAGAGTGTGGGGTCCCTGAGAGGTGAGGGATCACTATCAGGCCACCATTAGGTTACTGAAAAAAGGAAAGGAAAGTACAAAACTGTAGATCTTACAACTTCCCACCACCAAGAATCAGTGGTCTTATATTAGAGATAACATAGTGCCTTCTAACTAAAATCTCACAGCAACTCTAATTCACAACTGAGACGAACCTGCAAAATGGCACCAAGCTTGGTAGCAAGGAAAGACAAGCCAATGGTCAAACCTCCAAATGCTAAAGCTGTATGGAAAACAAAACTGTTACTTTATCTTGTGTGTGATGAATCAAACTCAATTCACTTTACTGAGATCCTGCATGGTTAAGAATTTGACCTACTTTTCACAACACAGTGACAATATAGAGAATTCCACATTGAAAAACAAAGAAAAAGTTAAACTTTGTTATTGGTACATTAGCAAAATATGCACCAATACGTTAACCCTTATCAGTTAACAAGTTTATGAAAAGCTTTTGTTGTTCCTTTCTTTCCACCTGTACAATATCAAAAAGTTGAACCAACAACTTCAGAATTCCACAAGGATGGTGTTTGATCCATCCTCCACTGATGAAGAAAGACAAAGGACATGACTTCACTGTTTGGTTAAAAGACCAAGATTGTGGCTGAATTGATCAAACTGGCCCCTAAACTTGGAGTCTGGGTGGAAAAAGTAGCAGCTCTGGCTGAGTTCTGCTCTCCCCATCTGCTTTCAGACCCTAGTTAGCCTATGGCAAGTAATTATGATGAACAATGTAACATCAAATTTACTCACCAAGCAGTTTTGAGTACAAGGTTGCACGAGTCTCTGACAACTCCTTCTGTTGACGTCTGGTCCAAGGTCGGATGAAGTCTTCCAACACTACAGCTGCTAGTGAGTTAAGACCAGAAGACACCGTGCTAAAACAAAACAAACAAGACTGAAGAACACATTTTTAAGATGTCGCTGATTGGTAAATTAGTAGATTTAAACATTTTAAACACTTTTCACAAATTTTGAAGGTATCAATCAGTACTATAAATAGATGCAGTTGTTGGATCCACCAGGCAACCTTACAGGAAACTTGCCCTCACTAGTTAATGATTTACTGACTGTTTCAACATGCATTGTACAAAACAACAACGATTTGCTCTATAAGTTACCTTAGTGTTCCACTAAATAAGCAAGCCACGAATAAACCTGGAACTCCATACAGTGATCCCAGTACATGCATAACAAAATATGGCAGAATCTATGAAAACATACCATAAAGTTAAATAAAGAGATTGGCAGTGAAGATGCAAGGATTCCACAAAGCTTGGGGACCTAAAGCTGTCAGAATTCCTTTCAACAATATTATTGGAAATATTGTCTATGCTTCAAGTAAAAACTGGCATCAAGTTAAGAAGTCCACTGCATGCACATACTATGCTGTTAGTTAACATTTATTTCGAACTAGAATGGAACTTGGAATAAAAGATCTCAAACTAAGTTGATTTGTATTTTTCTTTTCCTTAGAATTAAGACAATTCATCTGGAACAAATGGAAATTTAAATGGGACCAGTTCAAAATCAATTTGTCCTTGATTCATAATCAACATTTACAATGTGGATGTGAACGATGCATCATTTTTTAAGGGAGGTGAGGCAAATATGACAACATTTTCTTATTCATTAGCAAATCAATAAAAGGGAAATTGACACCTTCATCCAATCCTTTATCATCTAAACCATGATCTATTTCACAATTATTCCACGAGTGCACGTTGGATATGAGATGATGGATAGCCAACGAGGCACATAGCGCTGAGTTGGCTATCCATCATCTCATATCCAACAAGCGTGAGTGGAATAATTGTTTTATTAAAAATAAAATGCTTCCGAGATATTAGATAAATCTTCTCGACTTTATTTTGTAAGAAGAAAGTGGATGTTACAATGTACAGATATTAGATTATGGTATATTGGCTCATATACCATAATGGCTAAGCCAATAAAAAGTCTTGAATTGCATTATGCAATGATGTAGTTTTTAATAAATCAAATTAGTCATGAATTATTCAAAGGACTTTGGTTTGTTCACCTGGTCACCCTTCTTTATCTGTTTATTCGAAATGGGATCACAGTCAGCATAAAATGCATAAATCACACATCCACACAGAGCACATAGGCTAACAGCTAAAACACTGAGAGGCAGGTTTATCCAAACAGCCCTGCAAAATGATTAAAATTGAAGATGTTCAGTTCCATTAAATTTAACACACAACATAAGGGGAACATATTAGCCAACAGAGAATGGAGAATGCTAACTGTTGGTAAAATTTGGCAGCTACATGTAGGAAAGAATTTGGATATATCAACAAAGTTGAAATGGTAAATTGGCCACTGTAACAATTACAAAAGATGACGTTTCAAGCGTTAGCCCTTCATCGGAACGAATAGAGGAATTGTGGGTTGTGTGTGCTTTCAAAGGCAGAAAATGGAGCTATGTTATTGGTAGGAACATGGCAATGAAAAAAACATGAATAAATTAGTGGAATGAAAAATGTTCATTGATACCTGTGGGATTTAGACTGCCGGTTTGAAAGATGAGCTTTTGTTCAAGAGTTTTACGGCTTTGTAAAGAAAGAGGCAGTTGCTGGCTAGATTTTGGCTGGTAATAACTTAGTTAAGTGTAACAAATGGTTTTCAGGTGATGAGCTTTAGTGCCACTCAATCTTGTTCAGGAATTGAAATCAAATTTTGTTTTGAGCAATTTTTTCCATGTCCTGTTTCCATGTCTTGTCTTCGCCATCTTGTAAATATGAGGCTAAGCAGCCTCACAGAGAAGCAGTTCCAAAGGATAGAGATTAGAACTTTGTTATCAGAACCCTCTGAGCCAGCTCTATCCTTTTCCTAATCTGCATCAGATGTACTGTACTAGCCTATTCACTACTTTTCAGAATTATCGGCCATAACCTTGATAGCCTGAGCCAATTTTTTACTCAAAAGTGTCAAATAGTTTCCAGCATGTACCGGTAACACCTGTCCAATTCTATTTTTGTTACAAAACATTAATTCATTACAATCTACCTTTTCCTGACACAAATTATTCACACGAATGGCAGAATTCTGAGAATGGAACACAAGAAAGTGCAACTACCAACCTGTGATTAACAATTTCTGTCTGAAGAGGAACCTAGCAACAAAAGTAATAGCAAAATCAATTCACTCACAATTTTGCTTCTCTGTTGGACTTTGCTGCCAAAAATCGTTGAACAGCAGTTTGATTGACAGCCCAGAGTGGAAACAAACCAAAAGCACCACCAATGATCAGACTCCAAATTGACAGACGTTGTGTAGGATCTGGGTTTAAGCTGTAAAATACGAAAACAAATTATATGTACATGTAATATGTAAAATGTTGAAAATTCCTACTCCAAAAAAATTCACTCCCTGTAGATTGTATTTTGTTATTATAATAGCAGGGCTCAACACTAACAGTAGCCAACTAGCCACAGACTAGTAGAAATTCAGTTTTGGCTAGTGGTTTTTTATCTCCACTAACCAGTATGGCTAGTAAACAAGCTGAAATCATTCTAACATCTAAGTTGTCACAAGCCGCTTGGCTAGTAAGTTGAAAAGTTAGTGTCAAGCCCTGTAATAGGGGGGGAAAACCTCAAAATAACACACTGAACATTCATGGAACTTTGTATCAACTTACTCAATAAACTTGAGGCGTTGCCCTTTCTCAAGACGATCAAACACATTTCCAAAACCACCAACTTTATGTGTGCCAACAATCAGTACTGCAATTAGACCTCCCAGCATAACAATGGCTTGGAATACGTCATTCCATATAACAGCCTTCATACCTCCCTAAAAAACCACAGGACACTCAACAACAAAGGTAAACATTTTTTCCTCCTGGTTTTAATAAAGTGTATGATTATATCACACTCAATCCCAACTCCCTAATCCTCTTGACCTCTGTTTTAGTAAAACTTATCTGCTGGACAGCAATTTATCTTTTGGATAGAGTGAACCACTATTTGAACAACTGAGCCCACATCAACAGTTCCAGGTTTGAGCTCTTGCAAGGTCATTACATTATAATTGAACTGTTGCAAAAGAAGGAAAGGTAACCTGCAATGAACAGGCACCCTCTCGGGGGGGGGGGGAGGGAAGGGACAATACTCCTCCTCCCCTTATGCTATACAAACCAGTACAAACATGTTTTAACATCCAATCAAATTTCAAGAAAAATTGAGAGCAGCAGACCTGCTCTAGATCTTGGAACAAAAATGGTGATATCCAACTTACAATAGTTGTGTAGAAAGTACAGAAAACTCCGATGGATATGATGGATGCCCAAACTGGAAATCCAGTCACTGCATTTGAGAAAAATTAAAAAATGTTTCACAACAAACTTGCATTATTCCTTAATGATAACAATATTGCTTGATAATTAAAATTTCAGTTACCTGCTTCTAGTGCTATGGCCGGACCATAAACCACAATAGCCATATAAAGAGACTACAATAAAAAGGACAAAAAGTCTTAGTTTACTTTTGAAATACAGCAATTCTTTTTTGTTTTTTTTTTGTTTTTTTGTGATATATTTTATGAAATAATCTACTTCATACAATTTTAGTGTAAAATTTCAGCATTGGCCAAATGGCGACAAAATTATTAAGGGATCATATCATAAATTAATGAATAAGAAAACAATTGATCACTCAATTTGGATGACAAATAAACCCAAAATTAATTTAGAAAGAAGATGTAGACATCTCACCGTTTGGATTATAAAACAGACACTGCCAATAATACGCACTCCATTTGAAAATCTCTTTTCTAAATACTAAGACAAAAACAATCATTGTTAGTACCACCCACAGTTAGTGATAATGATGGATTGTACTTGTGAGGCTTAATTTCAAAGCTCTTCTCAAAGAGAAATGTGTTTCCACACATCCCTATAAATTCTCAGGTAATATGAACATTTATTCTCCCTTTTAGGAGGAAAGCAGAGATTTGACAGAAGTGGGAAAGCTCATCTTCCCGTAATGTTTCCTGGGTTTCATCCAAAAACTGGCATCACATATGGTTTGAGTTTGTTGTAGTTTCTATTCTGTACTCTAAGGGTTTTTTCCCCAGGTTCTCCTTTTTTGTCCCTCAACAAAAACCAATTCAAATCAAGCTGGGAACACCAGCTAGTTTATACAATAGTAATACATTGTAGATGTATCGACTGCTTGAAGAAATTTGAATCAATTTAATAAAAATCATTATCATTGTCTTTTTTTGTTTAAGAAGGGGTGCTTTAATTAAGGAGCAGCTTTTTCAACCACTTTGTTCATTTACTTCTAAAACAACACCAATATCCCAGAAAATAAAGTCAAAGTAACTCTGTGTACAAATAACAAGGAGACAAATCAGGCAATCATTTCAGATGAGTTAAGACAATAGGTTCTTGATTGAAACTTGCAGAAGGTCTGTAACCCATGATCAAAAGCTAGTAAAATATTTTACCATCCCAACATGCTGTGAACATAATTCTGAGATCATGCCTAATGTTTTAGTTCAAATAATTAGTTTGATATTCTGGCAACATGTTATGCATCACTCGTGCAAATCTATATACACTATGACATAGCCTTCATTAAAAAGTCTAGACTACTGCCTTAAAAATTAACCATATTTCTTTGTTAATTAACAAAAGTACTGCAATGTTCAATTACTTTTTTAAAAATCATGAACGTTTTTTTTTTTTTTGTACAAACTTAGACAATTTAAGAATTGGATACTTTCAGAATAAACCGCCTTTGAGTTTTCTAGTTGTTTCACTTTCGATCGCCAATTTCTACAATTTCATCTCCTATTCCTTAAATTTTGTTTTACAGGCGGACTTTGATCCACGACCAATACAACACGTGGATTACAAATCATCTATGAATTGAATCATAAACCACGTGGATTTACAAATCACCAATTGGCAAAAAAAGTGGATGAACTTTAAACTTATTCAAACACTGTCAAACTTTCCGAAACCAGAAAAAAAATTAAAGAAAATTCATAAAGTAAAAATAACTTGACTTGAAACGCACATTTACAATAGAGTTGTTGATATAAACAAATAACGAGTTTATTCAAAGAATCAGTTGTTTTGACATATGATCTTTCAGTTCCATAAAGCTTAATTACCTCGTACGAACTCGAGATATCTACAGCGCGGAACACAGGAACAAAAACCAGGGCTACGGATGGAAAGAGAATTACGTAGGAGGCAATAATAAGCCAATACTGTGTCCCAAAGATGTAAATCTCTGCCGGAACACCAAGAATTGTGATAGCTGACATGAATGATGCGATCAAAGACAAGGCTACTGGTATTGCCATCATTCCGCGATTCGCGAAGAGAAATTCCTTCGTTGTTCGCTGCTTTCCACCGGTGAAGGCATGATATATTCCAATAGCGGTCGACAGGAATAACATAATTCCAAACACGGCAAAATCAACTTTGCCAAACTGTACTTTCTCCACCATGATGCAAGTCTTAGCAAGCCTCCGCGATATGGTTCAAAATCACTCTGCGTGATTTATATACCTGTACACGCATGTCGTGTACGCCATAGTGAATTGTCTTTCAGTGAACCCGAGCTCGCGAAAAAGTCACAAGACTGACCGATTCGATTACCGCATTCTCTTCGAATGATTTAATTTGACGTTTTCCGTCTCTTTATCCCTGTTTTTTGTTAGTAGAGTAGAGTTCCCATTGCATCTGTCCAGAGATTTTTTTTTTGACTACCTGCTGAAAATGCGTTCAAACGGTTTGTGACAAGAGAGACTAAACTTTCCATATACCGTGAATGCTACAATTAGCGCCCAGCTTCAAATAAGCGCCCCGTTTCGAATTAGCGCCCCTCCTAAGGTTCAAAATTTGTGATAAGCGCCCCCCCCCCATCCCCCGAGAAAAAACGAGTTTCGGTACTCGGTAAGATGTACGAGATGTATACGGTCTATACGGTTCTTTAAATGAAATGTGACGTTGTTAAATAGTATAAACGAAATAAGCGACCCCCCCTCTCGCCTTAGAAAATTTAATAAGCGCCCCGGGCGCTTGTAGCACAAGAACACTTTTTCAACACAACTAATATTAATATTTTGATGCCATATTTAGATATTCATCTCAAAGCTCCTCATTCTGAGGTTTTCTCGCCACGATTCTTTTAATTCGTGTAATAACGTCAGAGTAAAAACAGTTTCTTTAAAACATCTGTCGCTGGTATGACGAGGTGCTAATAATAAATGCTTTTATTTTACTGGTCCTTAAACACTGCTGCCTCTAGGAATCAACAGAAGGATGTGGGCTGTCTCCAACGCCAAAATGTCGAGCGAGTATTTTCTCTTCTTTCTAATCGTCTCACATGTCAAAGAGGCCTATCCGTCGAAGGACCAATATACTTCAGAAGACAATTGTATGAGGTTCAACTGGAAGGAGTGGTTTTCTTCTAGAGATAAGCAAACTACCTTGATCCACATGGTGAAAATGATCCTTGATGACTGCATTGCAAATAATTCAAAATTAAATGAAACGATTGGAGGTTGTAACGATCCGATTGTAAATATAACATTTCAACTCTTTTCTAACTCTTCAAATTCTAAACCTATGGAAATGGAGTTCTCTTCTGTATTAGCCATCAGAGAAGAATCGTTTACCCTCGGCCGTCAAATTGTTCACGCATTTGCACAAATATGGGAGCTTCTTGTTCTTTGCATAATAGCAGCCATGCTGTCAGGAATTATCATCTGGTTTTTGGTAGGTATCTAGAAGTCTCTTTTCTTTCCTCGCTGTATTGCATTAGAAAGATTGATCATTCGAATAATATATCGGTCAGAGGTTGTGCAAAACCAAAAATGGAGAATTTTTTCATCCGAATAATTTGGTTCCTTTCTTCATGGTGCAGATAATCACGTTCTTTTTAATATGCAGTAAGATATTGATAAGAAGTTCTCAATGGGGATAACCGTTAGACGTAATCGGCCAGAAAATTTAGCCGCTAGGCGTTAAAAAATAAAAAGTTACATCCCCTAGTAGTAACAAAAGTTAAAGGTAAAAATTTTTCCTTTCTAGATATTATCATTTTGTGTCATTTTGGGTTAACCATCAGTCGTATAATGGCCCAAGTTTTAACTGTTAGCCGTAAAAGCCATGACCCTATTGCAACCCTCTGATAGTTAATCTTTACCGTTAGGTCCTAAACTTATAATATCTTAGTTAGCGCTGTTCGCCAGTTGTTACTGATCCATATGAAAAAACATCTAACGAAGTGGATTTCATATCGATTATCTGAAGTTATTTCTGAGTATGTTAACTGCTTTTGTCTTAGACTGAAATTTAGTTTTAAATCCAAACTCTGTTCACGGATTTTTTCAATTCATTTCCAATTCCAAGAAGAGCTTAACTCAGACGAAGAATATAAATAACAATTAAAGTCAACATTTTCAAGCCAGTTTTCAAATTTCCATTGACGGTGTAAAGTAGAAACTAGATGAGTGTAAAGTAGAAACTAGATGACTTCTGCATTGTGCAAAGGAGAAATATATGGTTAATGATCTAAAACGAAGCAAAGCTAAACATTTAAGTAAACGTTGGAGAAAAACTCACCATGACAATGAGGCCCGGTTCAGGCGCCGAACTTTTCATGAGCCGAACTCAATTCGAATTTGGACCGACCCAAATTAACAAAAGTACGCCTGCTGATTCAGACGCCGTTCTTTTCGGCCGTTCCAGATTCAGTTCCAGTAAAACCAGTCAAATTGCTTGCAAAACACATTACAACAATTTATGCATTAGGATCGGCACATGAAAAGTACGGCGTCTGAATTAAAGCCGTTCCAAAGGCGTTCTACAGGCGAAATTCTCGGCCAAGCCAGGCGGGAAGAACGGGTGAGCCGTTCCAAATTGAAATAGCCGTTCCAAATTGATTCAGACGCCGATCTTNCTCGGTCGCTGGTACAGACCTCACTACGTTCGGTCTGTACTGGCGACCTCGGTCAAGATTCTCCCATACAGACCTTCCGCTCGGTTAATAAGAATTAAGTATTTTAGAAGGAGCTACGTCATAGTTTGTGCATCTTTAGATTATTGCCTTAATGAGCACTCATTTAAGTCTTTCATTTACAGTCAGTTTAATCCTCTACGTCCTCATGCATCCTTGTTCCTTCTTGGTTTTATTATCACTTTTTTCGAGGTTCTCTATCATGCTAAACTGTTCCCAGATTCAAAATATAGCTGTAAAGGTCTTGTAACTTCTCGTTCGCTCCACCCAAATGCTTAAATCGCGCCTGTATGATCAATCTCTAAAGCCAATTCGAAAAAGAGAACGTTTGCAATGTGATGAAGTGAATAAATACTTCATCTTAACTGAATTTTTCATAGATTGGTGTTCCCTCGGGAGTTAAAAAACTTTTTGAGAGAAATGATAGGGGAGCCATTGTGAAAGGTGAGTAAACCTGGACACTTTTTTTCTTGTTTTTGTTTCATGGTAAAGTATGTTTAAAATTGCTGCCTTTTGCATCGAAAACTGCATCCAGCAAACCCCATACTGAGCAGCCAGCTAAGATACTAATGTATCTCGAGGGCAAGGACAATTGTAGCTTTTTGTGAAGAACAATTATTCCCTGGATGTAGGGGGATTTCTAAACATCATTGTGTGCATGTTCAGGATGGCTGCTAATATGTGGACCACAACCAGAAATTACCACCGAACAAAATTGATTCAATAATTTGAGTATGTTTGATATCAGCAAGAATGTACCTATTTAACTTGGTTGAATTTCTTGCAGAATATCACACAGAAAGCGAACTCCTAAACGGCCTGATGAATGATAACGTAGCTATGATAATGCTATTCGACTGTGACACCGAGGAAATGGAAAAAAAGCTTCCTCGCTTGACGATAGTTGACGTATTTGAAGGATATTTGAACGTCACGGTGAATTTTACGGTGCAAGAAGGATACAAAGACCTAGAACACTGTTTTCAGACAACTAAACGTGAAACCAGGAAATCTTACGAGCATGAGGAGATGGGAGATTATGACCGGGACGATGAGCGCGAGGATATGCAGGTTTCTAAACAATTAAAATACGCCAGGAGATTCTAAAATCTAGTCACGGTGATCGGCTCAAATGGCTTAGCATATCCATCAATGTAGGAATTGAGAATCTCATCGATCCCCACGTTCGATTGACTTAATTAAGGAATTCGATTTTCTAGCTTGTCAGATATTTGGGCGACTAAATTCACCGGCATTTGCACTTGGGGGGGTGGGGGGAGGGGCGGGAGCGGGGAGATTTTGGGTCAATTGTTTCTGGGTATGTGCCGCTGGCCTCGTATAATTTTGAAATTAGGTATTATTCGGATTAATAATTCAGATATATTCCCATATTTTTCAGAATTCCTGTTTTGAAAAGTACAGCCATGGAAAAAACCGACATAATATGAAGCAAGGGTCATCTGAGCGCGGAGTTTAACCCAACCTCTTCATTCTACTGGCTTCTGCTGGCATTCTCGTCATTTTCTTGTTGATCGGTTACCTTTGGAATGTTTACATGAAGAAGACACGGAAAGCAGATGGTATGTATCGGTACACATCATTTTTTTCCTTTAATATTCTCTTGACCGGGATTTTCTCTATACTGATAGGAATACCTTACTAAGAGATGTTCAATTAAAGTAACTAAACTTTTAAAAAAGAGCTTATTTTAACAGAGTATCTATCCAAAACTATTTTTAGGCAATAGGTAGCTGGTTTTCTCGAGAAAAAAAATTACATGACGAGGAAGAGTGCTGGTGATTTTAATTTGCATGTCCAGGTTACTGATGGCCCGCTGCAAACAACCTCGGAGAATTTTCTCAGGTTCACAATGAAACTCTAAAATTTCGCTGCAGTTTTCTGCTGACTCCACCAGCTGCCTGTATGTGCGTCTCTTTTAAATCGCGATGGACTGTTGCCTGCTTATGCATAGCTGATTAAAATTCCCCTGGCGGCCGGGGCCAAAATTTACCATCATGGGAATACATTGACCACCAATACCAGCAGGTATATGACGTCCTCAACTCACCCTATTAAATGCCAGTTCCGCGTAGAACTGACATATCGCTGTTGTATTTGTATTTCAGATGTTGATATCGAAAAAGGAGTGTCTGACACCGAACTGAGAGCGAGTATTAGTAGTAAAGTGCGCGTGAGGGAACTTTCAACACCATCACTTGACCATGAGATAGAGGTGTGATGACCAAAAACCCTCGCACATGTCCAACGGATACACGCTCATTAATTTAACAAATACATTAAAATGAAGCGAAGCGGTTGTGTCGATCGAGTGTCCGTCGAGTGTCGATCGAGTGTCAGTCGAGTAACGATCAATATATGGATCGATGCATCAGTTGATATATCGATCGAGGTAACTTTAAGTGTTCTTTCAGTCTAACAACCACAGATTTTTTTCACAGGATTACAAAGCAAACTCAGGCCATTTTCCGAACTCGTTTTGGAGAGGTGTTCGAGACGGATGGTGGTGGGCAGTGGTTACCATGACAACTGTGGGGTAAGAACCTGCAAAGGTTGTGATACTGTCTTGTGCTCTGTCTTGTCATCTAATATGGTCGATTAAACTCGTACCCAGTTTTTTCACGACCACGCAAGTGACGTAATCATGAGGTCTCTTTTTATGATACTTCATATTTGTATTTTTATTACTGACTTGGTAGGTATAGTGACAAAGTTCCTAAATCATCGCGGGCTCAGGTGTATGCTTCACTTTGGATGATCATCGGAATGTTGATGATGTCAACCATTACAGCCCAGATCTCCTCCTCCGTTACTGCTGAGGGATTCCACCGCTTAGATGACATGTTTGGAGATAAGGTACGAGGTAACACTTAATTAACGTTGCTTGCTGGAGTCGCATTGGCTAAATGTAGTTCATTTATGGCCTGTAGAGGATGATTTTCAGTTGTTTATGACTTCCTCTTTCCGCAACGGAAATTTGGAGAACATGTCGTGTCCCATTACATGAATGTACTTGTTCTGCGACTGTGTATGTTGTTGCTTGTAATAATCGCTATTTTCAACAACTCAAAATTCAGAACACCTGTTGAATTTCAATGAAAAATTTATTCGTATTTTACTTACTTTACTAATAAGTTCAGCGTCGAAATGTTTCCTATTGCATATTATTATATGGCTGTGTCTCACAAAGACTGGGAACTACCGAACTCCCGAATTTGATTGGCTGAAATCAATATTGAAAGCGGTCTAGATTTTCCCATCTAGACAGGCAACTAGACCGGTCTAGAAAAAAACGATACAAAGAATATAAAAAATTGGCATATAAGACACAGCCATATAATGAACATCTCATTAACCGACCTCGGTCGCTGGTACAGACCTCACTACGTTCGGTCTGTACTGGCGACCTCGGTCAAGATTCTCCCATACAGACCTTCCGCTCGGTTAATAAGAATTAAGTATTTTAGAAGGAGCTACGTCATAGTTTGTGCATCTTTAGATTATTGCCTTAATGAGCACTCATTTAAGTCTTTCATTTACAGTCAGTTTAATCCTCTACGTCCTCATGCATCCTTGTTCCTTCTTGGTTTTATTATCACTTTTTTCGAGGTTCTCTATCATGCTAAACTGTTCCCAGATTCAAAATATAGCTGTAAAGGTCTTGTAACTTCTCGTTCGCTCCACCCAAATGCTTAAATCGCGCCTGTATGATCAATCTCTAAAGCCAATTCGAAAAAGAGAACGTTTGCAATGTGATGAAGTGAATAAATACTTCATCTTAACTGAATTTTTCATAGATTGGTGTTCCCTCGGGAGTTAAAAAACTTTTTGAGAGAAATGATAGGGGAGCCATTGTGAAAGGTGAGTAAACCTGGACACTTTTTTTCTTGTTTTTGTTTCATGGTAAAGTATGTTTAAAATTGCTGCCTTTTGCATCGAAAACTGCATCCAGCAAACCCCATACTGAGCAGCCAGCTAAGATACTAATGTATCTCGAGGGCAAGGACAATTGTAGCTTTTTGTGAAGAACAATTATTCCCTGGATGTAGGGGGATTTCTAAACATCATTGTGTGCATGTTCAGGATGGCTGCTAATATGTGGACCACAACCAGAAATTACCACCGAACAAAATTGATTCAATAATTTGAGTATGTTTGATATCAGCAAGAATGTACCTATTTAACTTGGTTGAATTTCTTGCAGAATATCACACAGAAAGCGAACTCCTAAACGGCCTGATGAATGATAACGTAGCTATGATAATGCTATTCGACTGTGACACCGAGGAAATGGAAAAAAAGCTTCCTCGCTTGACGATAGTTGACGTATTTGAAGGATATTTGAACGTCACGGTGAATTTTACGGTGCAAGAAGGATACAAAGACCTAGAACACTGTTTTCAGACAACTAAACGTGAAACCAGGAAATCTTACGAGCATGAGGAGATGGGAGATTATGACCGGGACGATGAGCGCGAGGATATGCAGGTTTCTAAACAATTAAAATACGCCAGGAGATTCTAAAATCTAGTCACGGTGATCGGCTCAAATGGCTTAGCATATCCATCAATGTAGGAATTGAGAATCTCATCGATCCCCACGTTCGATTGACTTAATTAAGGAATTCGATTTTCTAGCTTGTCAGATATTTGGGCGACTAAATTCACCGGCATTTGCACTTGGGGGGGTGGGGGGAGGGGCGGGAGCGGGGAGATTTTGGGTCAATTGTTTCTGGGTATGTGCCGCTGGCCTCGTATAATTTTGAAATTAGGTATTATTCGGATTAATAATTCAGATATATTCCCATATTTTTCAGAATTCCTGTTTTGAAAAGTACAGCCATGGAAAAAACCGACATAATATGAAGCAAGGGTCATCTGAGCGCGGAGTTGAACCCAACCTCTTCATTCTACTGGCTTTTGCTGGCATTCTCGTCATTTTCTTGTTGATCGGTTACCTTTGGAATGTTTACATGAAGAAGACACGGAAAGCAGATGGTATGTATCGGTACACATCATTTTTTTCCTTTAATATTCTCTTGACCGGGATTTTCTCTATACTGATAGGAATACCTTACTAAGAGATGTTCAATTAAAGTAACTAAACTTTTAAAAAAGAGCTTATTTTAACAGAGTATCTATCCAAAACTATTTTTAGGCAATAGGTAGCTGGTTTTCTCGAGAAAAAAAATTACATGACGAGGAAGAGTGCTGGTGATTTTAATTTGCATGTCCAGGTTACTGATGGCCCGCTGCAAACAACCTCGGAGAATTTTCTCAGGTTCACAATGAAACTCTAAAATTTCGCTGCAGTTTTCTGCTGACTCCACCAGCTGCCTGTATGTGCGTCTCTTTTAAATCGCGAAGGACTGATGCCTGCATATGCATAGCTGATTAAAATTCCCCTGGCGGCCGGGGCCAAAATTTACCATCATGGGAATACATTGACCACCAATACCAGCAGGTATATGACGTCCTCAACTCACCCTATTAAATGCCAGTTCCGCGTAGAACTGACATATCGCTGTTGTATTTGTATTTCAGATGTTGATATCGAAAAAGGAGTGTCTGACACCGAACTGAGAGCGAGTATTAGTAGTAAAGTGCGCGTGAGGGAACTTTCAACACCATCACTTGACCATGAGATAGAGGTGTGATGGCCAAAAACCCTCGCACATGTCAACGGATACACACTCATTAATTTAACAAATACATTAAAATGAAGCGAAGCGGTTGCTAAAATAAAATTACAAACAACAACTTACTTCAATTATACCGAAATAATTTGACAAACTAGAAGACAAAATGATGCACAATAAATATGCGTTATCGACCAAGCGTGAGGTCAAGATAGCTGGATATTGGCCGAGTCCTTGTTTTGCTGGTCAAGTTTTTATGGACCGAGACGAAGTCGAGGTCCATAAAAATGCCATCCTGACCGAACAAGCTTGGTTAATAAAGGATTTATTACATTGCAAAAAGATTTCGCTTTATTAAGAATTAAGAATGACTTGTTAACTTCGAGAGCCGGGAAAGAAAGCCAACTGTGTTTGTAGCACAATAAACTCACGAGAGTCGTTTATGTTTTTTTTGTTTTGACTACCCTCTGCCGCTTTTTGCGTTTCCATCGCCGACATTGTTCAAGAATTACGAACTAACTTGAGACGATACAAAAAACCGAAAAGCGATGGTTGAACACGGTTTAACGATAAAGCTCGAAAGGCTAAAAACTTACACAGAAGAACTTACACGGATATGCAAACAAAGAGAAGTTATTAAAAAAAAGGTAAGGGAATACCGTAGAAAACATTGAGCGTAGAAACAAACCAACTTAACGAAAATGCGATGAAAAGAAACAAACGAACTTAACGAAAACAAACGAACTTGGTGAAAATGTGACGGAAAGAAAAAAAAGAATACGTATTTGATAACAAATAACATCACAATTTTGGCGGCAACAAGCTAGAGTAGACATAAAATTAATCACCTCCGAGTAATCCTGAGACGTGAAAATGTATAATTTGGAATTGTGTCCACCATAACTAGTTATATTTTTTTAGGTTTAAAAACTGAAAAGTGTAAAGATTAGCTTACTCACGTGTATATTAACTTAATACTCTAGAAATTTTAAACGTGGAAATATGGAAATATGGAATATGCATATTCAAATAAGTCTTTAGTTTATTCATAAGTATCTCAACTTGGTAGTCTAGAAATGTGGAAATGCAGTCTTAAGCCTGCTCGCATGTATCTTAACTTGGTAGTCTGGAAATGTGGAATTGCGAAAATCTGGAAATTTTCCAATAAGTATTAAGCTTACTCACTTTATCTTTACTTAGAATAATAACCTACTTGAAATAATAAAACAGGAATGCAGCAAGGAACTACGCTCAAGCAATTCAATTAGATTAGTGGTCCCGACCGACAACGCCACTTTCCAAGATAATGCATCGAAACTATTTAACAATCTACCAGAAACTATTAGAAACAAAAAAAGATTACAAAACCTTTTTAAAAATTTCAGGGAATCTTTCATATAACAGAGTACAGAGTGGTTAGTTAGTTATACTGTAATTTCGATTCTGTTAATCCGTGGCTTATTTTGATTTATTTTTAATTGCAATTGATGTACTTAAACAGTTAAGAGCCACCCAGTGGATCTATTAATAAACCATTATTATTATGATTATTAATATTATTATTACTTGGTAGTCTGGAAATGTGGAAATGTGGAAATATGCAAATGCACAAACAAGTCTTTAAGTTACTCTTGTTCATCTTAACTTAGTAGTCTGGAATTGTGGAAATGTGGAAATATGCAAATAAGTCTTGAGCTTTCTTACATGTATCTTTGTTTGGTAGTCGGGAAATGTGAAAATCTGGAAATATGCAAATTATTGGTAAGTTTCCGCGGATGCTACGATTTGGTGACAAAATTGGTTGACAACGGGGTCAACAACGCGGTTTAACGTCAAAAAGTGAACAACCCCGACCAGACTCTCTCTCTTCCTTTCGCTCCAGGCGTTGGGAAGAGGAGAGAACCTGGAAACGAGGGCTAAAAGTTAAATTCAAGATCCTGAAAACCATACCCTACAGTTGCCGGCACATACTTGTACAGAGATTTCATTAGAAACCGGCAACCGGCGAATTCTGGCGGCTACTCTCCCCAACGGAACCGGCTACTATGGCCATTCCACCCCCCGCTTTTTGCGTGTTTTTTTTGGAAAAACGTGACATTCAATATATTCTAAAGGTAGTCATCAACAAAGGTGTTTTTTGTTGATATTTTGTCTGCTTTTTGGTTGTTGGGTGATGGACAGAAGCGAAAGACTAGTGACAAATCTGCCTCGATTGCCGCTGAACTGTCTTCCGCCTGCCCATGTCCTAACATAGACCTACTTCCGAAATTAATGAAGTCTGTGCTTGCAGAGACAAAGAGATCTCTTGTAAAGATCTGAAAAAGAAATGCCCCCCAATGCATGAGATTCTGACATTTAAAACAAAACTTGACAGTGTTTTATTATAGTGATGCCATATCTCATTCTGAAGGTTTCCTGCCAAGACTCAAATGCGTGCAATTAGATCAGAGAAAAAACAGTTCCGTTGAAACATCTGTCGGTTGCATAACGAGGTACTTTTAATAACTGCTTTGCGCTTACTGGTCCTTAAACACTGCTTCCACCGAGAATCAACAGAACGTGCGGGCTGTCTCCTGCGCCAAAATGTTGTGCGAGTATTTGTTCTTCTTTCTAATCGTTTCACTTGTCAAAATGGTTCACCCGTCGAAGGAGCAAAATGCTTTAATTGATAGTTGTGCGAGGTTCAACTGGAATGAGGAGTTTTTTCCTAGATATGAACAATCAAGGTGGAATGATACTGTGAAGGATATCCTTCATTGCTTTTTTACGAATTATTCAAAAGTCAATGAAACAGGTGGAAATTGTAAAGTTCCGATTGTAAATGTAACATTTCCACTTTTTTTTAACACTTCAAGTGTTACACTTTTAGAAATATGGTTCACTTCTGTATTAGCCATCAAAGAAGAATCGTTTGCCACCAGCAGACAAATTGTTCACGCATTTGCACAAATATGGGAGCTTCTTGTTCTTTGCATAATAGCAACCATGCTATCAGGAATTGTCATTTGGTTTTTGGTAGGTATTCAGAAACCTCTTTACACATCCTCACAAAATTTGATCATTAGAATGATACGAATGGCAAAGGTTGATGCTTAATCGACTTTACTAAGATCGAGTACCTCGTTATCCGAAAAATTGTTTTTCAAGATAACAAATGACGTTTCCTGGGACATAAGATACTGACAGTAATCAGTAAACCTTTCCGCTTTATCTGAAATTTCACGATTGCGTTGACGGGGTAAATTATTTCAGGGAGTCGTTCGCAAAATTGTAATCTGCATGAACAAAAGCTGACGGAACGGATTTAAAATTAATTTTTTAAAGTTCTTTCTGAGTATTTTAACTGCCTTTGCTCCAAACCAGAAAGTTTTAAGAATTCGTCACGTCACCGACAGATGTTTCTTTTCAAAGATCTTTTTCAATCCACTCCGAATCTAATAAGAGAAAAACTAAGAAATGTATTTAAAAATTGGGCGGCGACGAAATAAAAGTCAGTTGACGTGTACGAAAACAGTTACCTTTTATAGTCAGGTTTTCCAGTTCTCGAAACAAATGGTATGAAATAGAAAACAGACTTCTACAACGTTTTTGGACAAGGGACAAAATGGTTAGATAATCTAAACGAAGCGAAAATTAAGAATGTCGCATTTAAGAAAACACTGGAGAAAACTCGACGTTTCTTTCAGTTAATTACCCTATCTTATACCAGTTCTCTATGACATCCCGATCTGTCGCCTTAATGTAAAAACAAGTTTGGAACTCAAACGAAAACAGACTACATTAACAACAGATGTTTCTCTCCTCTTTGATATTCAACCCTCGTGTAATGCATGAAATTTCATCGGATCACTGGAACTTGTCAATGCTCTGTATTGCAGGATTTTTATGCGTTGATCGTTGATTTCTTAGTTTCAGTAATTTGAAACAGAAAATTTTCAGTTCGCAAAAGCTTACGAGAGTATGGTTCGTCCTTTCAAATTTCGATTTTGGTCGCTATTTACACGTAACAACTGTCATCGTTCTTTAGTTTTAACAACTATTAACTTGTTCATAGGATCACAGAACAAACTCGGGTCATTTTCCAAACTCGTTTTGGAGAGGCGTTCAAGACGGATTGTGGTGGGCAGTGGTTACCATGACAACAGTGGGGTAAGAGAATGCAAAGATTATAATAATCTGTCTTGTCATCTAACATGGCCGATTAAATTCTATACACGATATTTCACTCTCTTGTCATACAATGTAGCCGACTACGCTCTAACCCAGTTTTCCTCGCGACAGCAGAAGCTAATGACGTAATCATGACGACGCTTTATGATTAACATGTAGAATATGATATGTACATGTACGAGCTCGAAATTTCTTTGATATATTGGTTGTAAATGGTTGATGTGGGCGAAGCCCGACATAAAATGCCACGTATTGAAATTGAGAGTGCGTACAAAATCTGATTGTTTTAGTAATAATGTATAGTCACTGTCCTCAAACTCGTTCCCAGGGCGCCTTTCCCTCTTTGAGGGGAAAAGCGCCCTGGGAACGAGGCTGCACCATCCTCACTATCTAACAGGGAATAAATGCCAAGTAGCAAAGCCATTCAAATTGCACAATTTTTGATAGGACGCTGAAGGAATTATAAATAATACTCCGCGTATATCTTTTATCACTGACTTGGTAGTTATGGTGACAAAGTTCCTAAATCATCGCTGGCTCGGGTGTATGCTTCACTGTGGATGATCATTGGAATGTTGTTGATGTCAACCATTACAGCCCAGATCTCCTCGTCCATCACTGCTGATGGATTACGTCCCTTAAATGATATGTTTGGATGTAAGGTATGACACGGCATGTGATGAAGTTGTTTGATTACATTTAAAGTTCGAGCACTATGCTGGGATCTAGGATTTAGTCAAGGGGGGCTCCCAGAATTGCCCGAGGGCATGCTCCCCCGGGAGATTTTGGAAATAAGGTCTTCAGAAACATGACTTCCAGCATTTTTAGGGATAATTTAGGGGGATCGACCGAACCACCCAAACCACCCCTGGATCCGCCCCAGCTATGAGAGATACTAGAATCTTTTTGGCTGACGAAAGAACATTCAAGGCCTATAGACCACTTTCGTAAATGGCTGCCGGATTAATATTATTTTTTTTAAATTTAAATTAGCCCTTCTGGCCTCGTTCTCCAGTACAAAATTCAAAATAATACATTATCTCAAGCGAGGCCGGAAGGGCTAATTTAAATTTAAACAAAAGAATATTAACCCGGCAGCCATTTATGAAAGTGGTCTAGAGCAGTCAACTTCGCAGAACTAACCGACTTGAAATATAGCGGTGAAACTCTTAAGTTCTTGCGCCACCTCCTCGTTCCCTAAGTTCCCAACCTCCGATAGTTTATTTTTCGTTATTAAACGGTGCATATCACACAAGGTTAGCTATGCATAGCCGTTGTGTCTTAAACAGAATTCGTCATAGGTTGGTGTTCCCTTGGGAAGTAGAAACCTCTTTGAGAAATACAACCGTGGAGCCGACGTCACTGGTGGGTTGACTTTAAGAACTCTCTATATTTTTTTTCTTTTATGTTCTATGTTCCTTTGTTTATGTTGTAGCTTTTGGATTAGCTAGGTGGTATAACTTATCTCGTACTCAGATCCGATCGTGAAACTATGACTTCGACCTCGTTCCCAGGGCCTTTTCCATTAGTTGGGGGAACTAAGGGAAAAGGCCCTGGGAACGAGGTTGCTATGACTTAGAACCGCTTAGCCGTGAAAGGTCTGGGTACGGGATTGACTTAATGCAGTAAGAATTCCTTTTATCAGCCCCTTTTAGGGCTACTCATTACATCGCGTAAACTCAAAAGAAAGCTTTATTAAAGGTCTCTCCATCATGGTCATTTCTATGATCAGGAACATTTAAGTGTGTATTTTATTTTATTTTGAGATGCGTCCTATAGTTATCGCCCTCCGTCACAATATTGTAACAATGAAAAGTGTAGATCAGAAACCCGAAGTCTTAAAAATGATTCGAGAAGTACTGTTAAAACTGTATGAAGCAGACCCAAACATAGCAGACCCAAACAAAGCAGACACTTACAAGGATACTAATTTTACCCCCGAGGGGAGGGACAATTGTAGCTTTTTTCTGGCAAACTATTGTTCCTTAAGAATAAGGGGTTGGGGGTGTGGTGGTGGTTGAAAACATCGTTGTGCATATACTCGAGGGATTCCTTGAGTCATTCCCGCTAACGGGAGGGCACGTGAGAAGTGGATAGGACTAGTAATTATCAGATGCAAGATAATTAAATGATGAGGGTTTACTTCATATCAACAGGGATAGTTCTCTATGGTTGATTTCTAAGCAGAATATTCCACAGAAAGCGCACTCCTAAAAGGCCTGATGGATGGTAAAGTGGATAAAATATGGCTGTTCGACTGTGGCACCGAGGAAATGAAAAATCAATTTTCTCGTTTGACGATCGTTGACGAATCGATGGATTATTCTACCGTCAGGGTGGGTTTTGCGGTGGAAGAAGGACACGAGGGCCTTGAAGACTGTTTGCAAAGCCAAACTGATCGGGAGAAATCATGGAAAACAAAATGGATGGACGATGACAGCTCGGACGATGAAGACAAGGATTGGCAGGTTTCTAAACCACTGAAATACACTAAGTAATTTTGCACTTCGATCAGGACGATCAGCTTAAAATTGCTTGGAATATTCATCATTGCAGGGATAATGCAATCACCATGATTGATTTGACTACAGGATCTGATTTCTAGTATTTTCAGATTTTGAAATTACCTGCAATTAGTCGCAGATCCCTAATAAAGCTGACCAATCATGTAATCCGTATTAGTTATTTATCTAATTTAGTTAGGGACCAGAAGAACAAAAATCTATTAGAAAAAAGAAAGAAATAGATTGCATTAGGTGCTATTCCTGAATGTTCGGCGTTTGAATCCAAGCCGATCCGATATCGAAATTCTCGGCCAGGCGGCGAGAAAGCTGAGCTGAGGTTTGTGCGAGGTACGGTGGACCGGGAGGTCTGAGTTCTAGCCTTGGCCGGTTTACTCAATGCGAATTTTCAATTCTTTGCAGTCAATTTTCAGGGAGGGAGGGAGGGAGGGAGG